GGCTGTCGAAAAGTCCAGAACTCCAAATAGTGGGCTCTCAAAAACTTCATTTTGGTTGGAAAAAGCAATTGGATGCGGTTGAAAATGGAAGTTAAATTTATCATTGCAACTTGTCTGCGTCATATAAGTGGTATGAAATTGAATTTTGAACTGTAGTCCGCTTCTTTTTATTAGGTCGCCGAGATGTGGTTTATTTTCCTTTATTCTTTATTATAAGTGCCTACTATATTCATACTTATAAAATAGTTCGTTCTGGGAATATATATATTTATTATATTTTTCTGAGTTATTAATACATATAAAAATAGTAAATGTTCTAACTCCTATTTTTTTTTATGGATGCCAATGGAATGGTGTCCCGTCTGTGCTAACGGTTTAAGCTGGCACGTACAGGACACCAGTGGAGGATAATAAGATGAGCATGAGGACAGAGCAATTACCTAATCGTGACAAATTCACCAAGAATGTATCACGATGGTTTCCAAGAGGGAACCCCGTGGAGGTCAATCTGACATACTACTTTGCTAGCAATATGATCATCAGTTTATATAACTAACAATCGCCTTTCCTCCCAACAGAGCCGCAAAAAATAGCAAGGATTATTTAATTAGGTACGTCACACGCTAAGAAGAGTGAGGGCTAAGCAAAATGTGACGTTGTTTGAAATTTCGTAGGTATTCGTCACATTAACGAAAAGAATTATTAGCGATACACTTTAAAATATTGCCATATTTAATACAATTGCAAAATATGTGATGTCGTACTAGAGTGTGGAGTTTCACAAATGTCAGGCAGTGTGACAATAGGACAAGCGGATAGAGATGTAGGTATTCTGTGGGCTATTAGTAGCCTGAATTAAATAAATAAACTTTTTAATGTGTGATGTAATTTATGGATAATTATTAACATAAACAACATGACCAAATTATTAGACGCAGTGCAAATTTTTGCTATTTATATATGTTCATTTTTATTTTAAATATCATATATATAAAATAATAATAATAATAATATATAAAATATTTTCAACAAGTACCCCTTTCTATTTTTGATACCCCCTATGTAATGATTTCGAATATACCTACATACTAGGGATGTTATGGATATGAAATTTCGCATACGGATAGCTTTCGGATATAGGAATGATTATTATACCGGATACGGATACGGATGCGGATATGAAATTATTTCGGATCATACGTTAGTTTCGGATAATTTCGGTTACGGATATTAACTTTTTAAGGAATCTCAAAAGTAAAATACAAAATGGTTATATAACATATCTCAATTAGGCTCCGCCCCTATACGATATTATCCGAAACTTTTATTTCGGATTCGGTTACGGTTATGGATATTTTTTATATCGGATATCCGATAGTTTCGGTTACAGTTACGGAGCTCCCTAACATCCTTACTACATACATAATCAATTCGTAATAATTTATGCCTTAAAACACTTTTTTTAAGGCATAAATTATTTAATTAGCTACGTACGTACTGTGACATTAGGTATCTACTAATAAAAATAGGCAGAAAACTGTAGTGCGTCTAATAAATTGGCCAGGGACTGTAGGTATGGTAATCTAAAAAGAAGTAGCAAATATATGTCAACCCTAGATCATTGTTGTCATCGAACACTTGGGAAAAATCGTTACCGTTACACCCCATCCCTTCAACTTGGCATGGTCGTCGTGAAATTTATTCCATCATAATTCAATATGATTGAGGGTGGATCCTTTAACAACAGGTTTTAACTTGCCAACATATAAAATTACGGCTGTACCCGTATGTGACACCGCTATCTTCGTATTTTTATTTATACATGTAGTAGTATCTGTAGTAATATTGTACAGACAAAGTTTGTACCTAGCTATGTAGTAAGGTATTGTATATATACTACTTAGTAATCAATCAAATTACCAATGTAATATGAAAAAAAGTCTGGAACCACTGCTTAACAGCAGTGTAGAAATTTTTTAAGTCGGTAATTTTTAAGATAGGTAAAACATCTATCATTTCAAACTTGTAAACGACTTTAGGTAAATGTCAATGAAGTGTTTAATTAAATTGTTATATTAACAAAATTCAATTACATAATAATAACATTTTTATGTTATCTTTTTATTGTAAATTTTAATTAATTTTATTCATTATTAACCGGTCGGTAACGCGAACGTGACATCCCTGGTGTTTCAAGCGTCCATAAGCTAGGTAACCGTTTATCTTCAGATGGGCCGTATGCTTGTATGCCACCATCGTAGTATAAAAAACCGCTTGAATTGATTGTATTGCACAATAGTGAGTTCAACCTCTTTGCTGATATATTTTGCGTATACTATTTACTATGTGCATATTATACTAGCAACCCGACGTGGCTTTGCATGTATATGTAATTATGTTTATTATAATTTCGAGAATTTTATAGTTACATATAACTATAAAATTATCGAAATTATAATACGTTAAATACGTTGCGTGATCAAGAAGCGGAAAAAAGACTATTATATTTAGAGTAGCCTTGAGCTACTACTGACTACTGACTTAAAATGCAATATCTTAAACCCATAGCCCATATAGTTAGCTACGTTTCGTCGAAGGAAAAAACACAGCTTGGATACATCTTTACACGGTACAGCAGCTAATATTAATTACCATAAAATAAAACAATTTCCAAATAAATACAATCTTTTATTGTAAATATATTTTCATTTTTAGCATTAAACCCTTTTGCCTTGATTGGTCTGTATATTTTCAAATAATATTGACGATACAATTTTAACATGTATTATACATATTGTAACCGACTTTTAATAAAAAGAATGAGACTGATAATTATATTAATAAGAATTGTCCAAATTTAAAAATAAATACATTATACTTAATTAATATCTACGTCTAAAAACAAATAAGCGTACACACTATAGTCTGTCAGGTTCGTGCACAGCGTTCAACAAACGGGCAGGCTGTGTGCGATGTACCGTATAAAATTATATAAGTAATTGTATATCTGTGACATTTTGCCTACAAAAGAAAACTAATATAACTATAAGTTCAAATGTCCATTCTCAATACGGGCTACCAAATTAACTGCAATCCCATTCCAATTTCATATTAAATCTTGTATTTTGGTGAACCTAATGCATTAATTTATTTATACAAAAATATCCTTAGTGCTAAATTACAACTAAATATTTTCATTTAGCAAATATTTACTACAAGCTATGTGTACTTTAGCATTAAAGGCAGCTGCTGCCGCTTCGGCGACAGTACAACATGAAAATTAATTTACATGGAGTAAAGAAATACTGGTACAAAATATTTCTTATTAAAATTTTCCATATCGCAATGTGGCAGGGAATGTAGATAAATTCATAGTTGATAGCTCCTTATTTAAGTTCTATATGTGATGTCAATCAAACTTCTTGTTTACGTAAGTACACATAATATGTAAAATATATTTGAGAGTCAAGCTATTACGACTTTGGATATGTTACATATTTGAACACGTGAAGTATTCACTTCATTTACTAGGTACACCCATCTTGGCATGTATCTGATAGCCAGCAGAACGCTTGCATGGAACTGACAAAATATATACACAAAAACAGCAATGCAACTAAAGTAATGACTAAACTCATATACTACGTAAGTACAAAATATCATTATTATAATAAACATAACTAGGAAGATCCGATTTTTTTTTAGTTTAACAATCAGAAATTTAAGATTTACCTCTTTATATATGTATATTTAATATTTATTACAATGTCAAAACAAATGGCATATAAGGTCTATTGAACGTAAATAAAGTTTTCTTTGTATTTTGCTCCGCCAAATTAATACAACTTTATCCTTAAAATTAAAAATACTTGTGATAATAACTTATAATAAATAAATATCATATTTATCATCACGTCGTGTAAGCTTTTTTGGAAGAAAGACAAAAAAATACATTGAATACTTGATTTTCTTTTCTTATAACAGAATTAGGAGGTGTAGTAGTGTAAGTAAATGATACCAATACATTATAGAGCACTAAATCTATGTTTAAATAGATTTAAAAAATCCAACTCAAATTACACAATCCAACTGCCTATCCTAACGTACCTTTGCTTCCGTTATTACCACACGAAATAATAATAAATAGAATATATTTAAAACCAAGAAACAGTCACGAGGTTTCTCATATATCAGTGGTCAATCTGTGACAAAAAAAAATAAGAAATTAGGCTTAAAAGAACACTACACGATACCTACACTTTAAGAACCATTTTTTAATCTACTAACGTTCTAACATGCAAATAGTATTATAGTAGTAAATTATAAATCTACTAAGTTCATATTTCATAAAATCAGCATAAACATTATAATGGTGAATTTATATGCGAATCCAAAAACCGAGTTTGAAGATAATGTTTACAGTACAAGTTACGTTATAATTAACTTGGATTAAAAAGGACAAAATTGCGAATTGTTTTACGTAATTTTAAATGTCAAGATAGTGTTCATCAATTTTTATATTTTTTTAATTACTCTAAATGCTGCTGGCCATAAATAGTTTTTACAGCTTTACGTGATAAAAATGGAACTTATAGATAGATTTATGCACCCCATTATAATAGTTATAACTTAAAAATCTTAGAATGTCCCCCTGAGTGTGAACCAGTAATAATAATATATAGAGTGCAACGAACATACTACTATATAGAACTTTGACATGAACGTAATTAATTAAATGCAAATAATTGATTTGTGAACAGCAGTGTACTGGAAGTCAAATAATAATAAGGTGAATCACTAAGAATGTAGATTATTTAAATAAATACTTTTCATAATATTAATTTTTCCACTGTCACAACAAATATCGCATGTATAAGTAAAACTATTGTAGTAATATCAAAGTCTCTTCTTAAACTAAACCCTACCATCATTGTTATATAATTTTTTTATTTTATTTTTCTTGTCAAATATCTCATATTTAAAAAAAATATATTTATATATATCATATGGCATGATAAATTAAAAACTTGTAGACCAGTGTAATCAATGAAACCGATGGGATAGCGCTCATGAATATCAAAAATATTCTAAAAAAAATACACTTCGATATTCTGTAAAATTTAGATTGCCCAGCCCTTATAAACATATGTACATAGAACGCTGCTACAAAGACTTTGCAGACTGCTGTTTGCGCAGACTTTAATTAAAGTCGAATCGGGAAAAGCAAATGAAATATGATTTCTCCTGATTAACAAAAAACAGCCATTCCCCGATATCGCCATAAAATTATTGTACTCACTGAAGTATAGCACTAAATTAAAAAATATCTATTATCGTATTCCGGTTGTTGTAAACAAACTAATGTAAATATACTATTAGTCTTACGTGGAATCTTGTTGTACAAGAGCCGCTTGCGACAACGATATCTGATTTGAGGCCGGCAACGGTTTCATGAGCATCATTTTAATGCACGGTGCTAGCAAATATATTAAAACTGCTGCAGCTATTATCGATATTATACATAATGTCCATTGCGCTGCTTTAATCGACATAGCTCCGTCAGATATGACCTTGTTAAGTTGACACGCCGCTCTGATAGACGTTGTAACGTTATATGGACCCGTAATACGTGCGTTGGGACCGCAGTTAGATGACTGCCAGCCGATCCAGCCGGCTGACCGATTAAATAACACCTGAAATTTAAAATTGAATCGATTAATATGTAGTTGATAATAAAACTGTAAAAATAAACCTTTTCGTCATCAACATCAGATATATTCCTATTTCCAAAAATATAAATGTGTAACACTGTTAGAGCTCACTGTATCGTAGGAAAGAAATATTAGATATATTTCATACCTTAAGAACATGCAATAAAAACAAATATTACAAAATAATAAACGAATTAACGAAAAAGGTTATGTTGTTAATTTGTCGAAGTGGGAGCGATATATTTACTAGCGAAATACAGATTTAGATCTCTAACAGACTCCTTGCAGATTTCGTTCGGCAGAGAGAGAAATACGAGCCGAAAAAGTGAGTGTGTCGTTAAGTACGTAAAAACGTTGAAGTACGTCGGCAAGCCCCCGCCCCCCCCCCCTTACACTCGGTGTCATTCCATGAATCTACGGAATGCTAAGTTCATCTGTCTCTATTCAATAGATGCAATGTTGAAAACAAAACAATGATCAGTTCAAAGGTACGTAAACTGGTAAGAAAATCAACATATTTCTTTTATATTCAATTTGTTACAGAGAAAAAATATTACCTGCAATCCTTCCATAGCAGTGTATCCTAGAACAGTCTCCTTCCCACCTGCCTCAAGACCTAATTTGTAACAGAATTCTGGTACTGTTCCATTTTCACTAGTGTTGTTACGTGCAGACACAACCCGCATGTAATTCTGAAATCATTTAAGAAGAAATATATAGAAAGAAATAATAATAAACAGACAGAGTAATACCGGATAGTCGTAAAAAACTTAACATGTGTAAAGCCTTCCGATGAGTATACTTAAATTCCATGTAGCAGTATGGCAAGTCTATCACAATGTCTCGAATTAATTAGGTTTATTATCCGTGTTCACATCACCGGAGAGTCAGACAGAAATACTTGTCTCGGCGGGGCCGTCGCCTTTAGGTTTGTCTAGCGGTGGTCTAGCGGTACCGCCTTACTTTTGATGCTCGCGGGTTCGAATCCTCGCACGGCACATACATTTGTATTCATGAGTATGATGGTCTGTATCAGTCTGGGTTTTTTATACGTATAACATATGTATATTTATGAAAATATAGCTATGTCTATATCTAGTACCCATAGCACGAGCTTTAGCTAAATTAACTTGGGTCTAGATGGCGCTGGGACAATTCTCCAGAGATTATTATTATTATATAATTTGTTAGCAATTTAACTTACATAAAAAATCAAACTACCTGCGGTGGTAATTCCAATGTGAAATACTCCTGATCTGATTCTGTACTTAGCAAGTCTATCGCTAACCACGGAAGTGACCAGTTCTGGGGTTCTGTCCAACATGCAGCCTGGAATTCAGACAATCAAGTATTTAGTATGTACGAACTTAAACCTGACTCTTTTCTCCTTTAGAAACTTAATATTATGTCACATTTACAATAAATTCGCTAACGAGACATGTGTGTACCTAAATCTTATAGGAATTTTTCCGCAGTGTAAAAAAATATAGTGAATTATTAACGTAAAATATGTATATAATTGGCAAAAGTATTAACAACGAATAATAGTAAAGAAAAATCACACTATCTTTCTAAATATAAAATTTTAGTTATAATGTCGTCTATTAAAAATAGCCAGAAATAAATATAACAATAAAGTTCCAATGATCTGTCTGTAATAAATGTTTTACGTAATAATTTCTACATATTGTACATATATCAAAGTAAAAAGTGATACTGCACTGTAGCCAGATTTCTGTAACAATTATTATTCGTTTCATTCCAATTAGTATACAAACAAAAAAATCAAAATGGACACTATTATTATTTTAATGAAATTTGACGTGATTATAGAAGGATATTGACCATAAATAATATTAATTTCACGGTTAATAATAATAACATTTATTAGGGTTACACGTAAATATAAAGTTGAAATAAATCAATGATGACAACACTAACCTCTGCATGATACCAGAACTCGTCCAAAATAAGTATATTAGAAGACAAAACAGCATTTTTTAGTTCATCCACCACCTGAAAATAAAAGTAAGAAACGTTTATCGTCTCATCTGACGCAAGGAAAATACCCATTAGTATACAATTTATTAAATACACCCATATACAATAGAATGACATGATGTCTTTGTCTCATCTATTTCTATCTCCTAATAAATAAAAAATAATTCTTCATGTAAGACATTTTATCCGCTTGTGAAAGTCAAATGTTTTATATTAATATTTTCTCCATACCATTAATATAATGTGTTATAATAATGTGATATAAAATCTTGTATGTATATAAAGTTACCATACTCATCCGAAACTTTCTTGAGGGTTGTCCGACTTTTATGAAATTTTATACATATGAATATACGTATATAATTTTACTCTCAGACCCACTAAATAGTAGGTCTAAGAGTCGACTACTATCAATTTTTCATACCCCTAAGTGATAAGTGTTGTCCACCCCTAATATTTTTTTATAATGTAGCATTAAAAAATACAAGCAACCCTACATTTTCACCCTTCTACGCCGACCCATATTTTTACTAGCGATTTTAATTTATGTGGCAAAACAATGTTTGCGAGGTCAGCTAGTAATACTATTATTATATTATAATAAATCTAAACGAACTAAAGACGAACCTGCCGGTATAAGTCATCAGGCAGTCTAATATTAGTAGTACCACTATCCACTATACTTTTTTCCTGGTTTAATTGCTGACACATTTCTATATTTAGATCTGTGGATACGTAATTTTCTTGGCTATTTTTAGTTGACGCTGGCACAGAAGTCATGTTAGGTTGTTTTAAATACATTACTCTCATTGATAATACACCCACTTCGTACCAACGTTTGCGCAATATTGGCGTACGAAATATCGTTTCGTAGGTTTCAACTGCATCGTCTGTAAAAATTAAACAATATTATTATTATTAATACAACAATAAACAGTAATCAGAAACAATAGAATTCTATCATGGATGAATCATGGTTTATTTTATTAATTATTATTATAATTGATAACATTAATTAATTGTAAAATTTCATACTATGTATACTTTATTATAATACAATAATTTCAATGGTAATTCTGATCAATAAAACATATATGTATTATAGGGTAAACCCTACAGTGATTGCCCAGTGTATAGATATTGCCCACAGTAAGAAGATGATACATTTAAACCTATTTATAAAGGAGTTAATTCGAATACATCAAAATTCGTTGGATGGCATTAAGAGATCCTCTAGTAGAACGTTTAATAATAAATTGGCAAATTATTTAAAGAAAAACATAGTGTTATGGCATATTTGTTGACAAATGGACTTACCTATTATCTAAAAAGTAAGTTTCTTAAAGAATTTCTTAAGGATACACTTTTTGTTTTAATTTATTGTGTTAACTTAGCTCCGTTTTAAACTTATTGCTATAGAGAATAAGTTAGTAAATGCTTTATACTATAATTTCAAGGAATATTTATTGTGATGTAAAATTTACCTCTTAAGGAGTTAGATGGGGTGGGCAATTACTAAATCTTATTTAGATGAATTTTAGTGATTGCCATATCAGTCATTTATAAATCATATATGTGTATAGACCGGGAATGTCTATTAAAATTTATTAATATAAATTATATATAAATTATTTTTGTTAAATACATTTACGTAGTAGTATTATCTAGTTCTTTATAGAATGCCGAAGGTTACCAAGTTAAAATACAAACGGAAAGATTTAAAGAGGGCAATCATCTAAAATATTAATCCAAAATAACAAAGACAGGTTTTCAGATCGACAAATAGCTCAAAAATATGGAATTCCTAGGACAACGCTGATTTTTTAACATTATTCAGGACACAAAATCAGCTTGGGTTAAAATATATAATGCAAAAGAAGAAGCTATTATTGAAGACAGGATAACAACTTCAGCACGAAAAGGTTTTCCAATTCATAAAGAAAATATTTTGAACAGTGTTCAAAAATTTCTAGAGGAAAATCCAAGACCTAATCCATTCGTGAATAATAGGCCTGACATTGGATAGTGGAAAGTATTTTATAAAGAAACATCCAAAATTAAGTATACGGAGTTTTGAAGGTCAAGTTCGAATAAAATCAAGCTAAAATGTGTATCTGAAAAAGATTTAGGTTCCATGAAATATTGCTATGTCGATGAAAAAATAATAAGCCAAGTCTTAAGTCAAGTTTTCAATATAGATGAGACAAATTTTCATATTTGCCAGAGTGCAGGACTAGTTGTAGCTGAAAATGGTTCTAGAAACGTTTATAATATTGAACATTCAAATGGAAAATAATCAATAGTCATTTTATTTACTTTCTCGGCTGCTGGTATTATTTGTAGTCCATTTGTTCCCCAAATCTTTTATTAGTGTAGTAAATATACAAAAATAATAATACAATAAGTTAACTCATCTTTTTGGGACTATTTAGCATACCCTGTAACTCCGGTAATAAAAGGAAATGATGTAATAGCAAATGGTTATCTTTCTGTCTGTCATCAGAAGGACAACCATTTGCTATTACATCAGAAATATAATCAAGTTAGCTTTACATAAAGGCAATCATATAAGGAGAATCTGAAAGAAAAGAAAAGAAGAAACTAGAGTAAAAAGAAAAACAGGTTTTGCACGCTGGGTATGTTTGTGTAGTATGCAAGCAATTTTTAAAAATAAAATTAACGGCAGCTGCTGCCACAAATCATTTTATTCAAAATGTATTCCTGAACATTACAAAAACCACATGCCAGATGTATTAGATATTCTTTTGTTTTTGTGTCATTTTTACTATAAAGTAGATGATTCTTATTCTGCTAAAGACACTGATTCTGATTGTTTAGAAATGTATACTAACGTACATAAAGCTATAAAAGATCTCAAATAATAAATAAGGTCTTTAAAACTTGAGACATTGTTTTGCTTTAACGATTAATGTTAGTCAACATTCCTAAACAATAAGAATTAATGTTCAGATGGTATATTTTTAACCAGATTTAGTAACTATAGCTTCATTAATGCTATGTGGGTTAATAACTATGTGATCTAGGTCAGTGACTATCTGGTGGCAATCACTATACTTTTAGTTAGGTTATTTTTGTTAAAGCTTGTAATTATTAGTTTTCTTAAGATATTTAAATTGTTACTGTGGATCTCTTACGCTAAACTATTAATGTTACCAAAGACGGCGATTACTCACCAACCTATTATTTTAATTAACATTTATATACATATAAAACCAGTATAATTTCCTTAAATTACAATCACTACCAGTGTTTAGGTATATTGTATGAATTATGTCAAAAATATATGTCAGGTTTTAGTAGCATTATTATTTATGCTGCAGGTATATATTAGACTGTACATAACATGGCTGATGACACAGTGTTAGTCTAATAATAGATTTGATGATTTAGGTTAAATTGCAAAGAAATGCATCAAAATACAAGTTGTGTAGGAGGTAAAACAGTAGTTATCTACTATTTATCTATTGGCAATATACATATTTTTCCAAGAGGGATTATATTATAGAATGTAAATATAGTTTATGAATGTAAATGGACTTACCAATTACTCTAAAATTTCCATAGTGTGTAGCATTACTTGAACTTTTGACTCCACATAATTTCAATTCAAAAGACGATGGAGTCTTTAATCTCCGATCTAAGGAGTCTAACCAAGACTCAACAATGAGATGGTCGCCCCAAGCTCCAACTGGGAGGTATGCAAGCCCCAAAAGACCCTAATAATAAACAAATAATATTACCTATTTTATAGGAATATTTCAATTGAGATTAACTATCCAATGTCATATTAGATTCTTTATGGGATAAATAAGTGGGAAAGATAGTTCATAGGTAATTAATATGAAAAGAATATGAACTTTCTATCAACATTACTATAACAAGTCATTATAAATCATATATGTGTATAGACAGGGATAGTCAATTTATTTATTTAATGACTACTACTATGCTTACATCAATTTGGCAGAGTGTTTTAGTGAAATGGACTTAATATTATTAATATGCTGAAGATCTATAGTGTAAGTACTATGTACCAAAATATAAAAACTTTTTACACATAGATTAATTTAATATAGTTTAACCCAATCTAAAATATTATATTCAACATAATCTGTATAGAACATTTGATATTTGTGAAAGTTCAAGTCTGAACCCATTCCAAAACATTTTTTCACATTTATATCACAAAATATTAGTAATATTATTAAAATATATAATCAACATTAAGTAAATGTTATATAAAAATTATAAAATACATACCTGCCAGCTTGAACCATTCATAAAGAATTTGTGGCTTTTTGTTATAAGAGCCATATCAGTTCTAACTTCCGGCAAATTTGGTAAAGATGGAAATTGGATATAGTCTGATGCCAATCGACCGAGCCACATGCCTTGGGAATATTTTGCTTGGATCTGTAAACACAAGGCATATTCTAGTATATAATTACATATTACTTACAGATTGAAATACTTAAAAGATGTCTATTAGTACAATGTCAAGATTAATATTTAGAAACACAGATAAAATTTATGTCAACTAAATAACAATTTATAATGATCCCACTATTGGTCAGGGATAAACTTATAAAAGAGGAAAAATAGGTAGCTGACCTAATTTATAACAATAATGTTCTGTACATATAACGTAAATATTTCACTATCATTGCATGCCAAAACGTAGTAAGAGTTAGCAGGCAATGATAGTGCTCGAGTTTTTGGAATAACAATATTCTAATGTTTACTTAAATTTCTAAAGTTTATAGCACCCCAATTAATTACTATTCATTAGAACTAAGATGTTTGGCCTCCATACTCTGTAATTTTACTATTTCTCACTCTTCAGGTTACAAAGTTTACAAAGAAGCAACTTTGCGGATAGCTAAAATTTATGAGTTAATATTATAATGTCTACCTCTGGTAAATATATAGTAATATGTACATACCTCCTTTCCACTATCATTAATACTAGTCGAGTTATCAAAGTGGAAATATTCATTGTTGTCCTGTCTGGGATAAGTTGCAATTGCCAAAGTTGTGCTGCCAGTATCCACTAGCACATTAAGCTGGAAAATATAATATAAGATTTCAGTCTAAATGTAGATTTAAGACTACATAAAATTTCATGAAATTCAAAATTATCCACTGCTATAGAGTATGCAATTTATCAAGCAATGATCATTATGTTCTAGAACTAATTTGTAGTTTTTTAATAAACCTTTTGTGCGGGATGTCCCAGGAAAACTTCTATGGCGTAAGCTTGACCAGCATCTCCATACAAATTATAATCTTCACTGCACAAAACAGTCACCAAAAACGAAAATAGAAAAACAACATACAGTAGCATTTTTGTCATATTATTTTGTACATGATGAAGTAAAATAAGATTATGACAACATCGGTATTGCTTTAATTTAAATGTGTCTCGTTTAAGAGTTTTTTTATTTGTTTTGGTAAATAAAAATAAATTGACGACCGAGCGTGAAACTTAGGCAGTTCAGTATTTGAAAGTGACATTCTTACAAGAGCAGAAACATAGCCATCTATGTAATAAATCTGTAACAGTATTTCCATATGTCATACATAGATGGCGTTAGCACATTTACTGTAAACTTATACATTATAGCAGAATAATTTTGACGTAATAAATAATAGTTTATGAAGTTTCATATTTTTTTTACGTATTTACCTTCTTACATGCCGCCAAGGAACCCTCTTTTTTCCCCTTCTTTTTTAACATAAAACCTCTACGAAGAGGGTTCCTTGCAGGAGGCAAGGAACCCTCTTCGTAGAGGTTTTATGTTATTAGTTTTTTTATATTATTTTTTAAAATATAGAATATAAAATTCCTGTCCATCCTAACATGGTCGCCAATATGGTGACGATTTGTTTCAGGAAGGGGAAAAACATTACGGAATATAATTTTATTTCTAGAAAAATATATATATACCTTATATATTTAGAAAACGACAGAAAAGGCATGTTACTGTTTAAGGTTGTAAAGTAAAGAAAAAGTCATTGTGAAACTGCGATGAGTTTTAATTTAATATTTGTTTCGTTTTATACTAGCATATTATTCATATATAATGCCATGTATATAATAAAACGAATACTTCATTTGCGAAGTCAGTATACAAAAATAATAATTTCATTGATTAAAATATATATTTAATATCGACTGGTTACCTGTCATAACTTTTATGCTGTGTAGGATATAAGTTACAGAGGGCGCTGTAATTGTTACTATAAAATTAGTAAAACGAAGAACTCTGTTCTTTTTTTGATTGGTCGGTTTTGCCGGTCGGCATTCCGTGATATAAATTTTTTTTTTTATTCGATGTTGCCTGATCGCTGTAATCCGCACCCAATTCTTAAGATACAGTAAGTCTAAGTGTATGTATGACGAAGAAGCATCAAAGAAATTATCGGTAGATACAGTCATTGATAGGTCTGCTAAATAATATAATACCTATAATAATGTTCATATGTCTACACGACTGATCCCAGGTAGGGTTTTTTTTTTATGGATGTTAATGGAATGGTGCACCCGCCTGCGCTATCGGTTTACGCTGGCGGGGCACCAGTGGAGGATGACAAGATGAGCATGAGGTCAGGTCAGTTAGCCCAACGTGGTAAATTCGCAATGAATTTATCACGATGGTTTCCAGGGGGAACCGCGTGGAGGTCAACCTGACATAGTACATTGCTAGTATTGGGTCATGAGTCCACATTACTAACAATCCCCTTCCCCCCTCCCAGGTAGGGTAGAGGCATTAACGTCACTTAACATTCTAATATGTCTGGGGTACCTATTCTATAGAATTGAATTCTTATAAAGTTTGCCACGGGCCTAAACTTAATAGTAATTTCGAAAATCAGAGAGTTAATTGACGAAATTAAGATTTTTTGGTATTTGGCACCTATCTTTAGGTCAGACCGATTGTTTACTATTACTTATATATAGATAATAATAGTTTTTTATTTCGTGTCGTTTACTACTTTAATTCGTATTGTTGGTATCTTTCCCATGTTAAGTGTCAAGTAGGTAAAATTACATACTCTATATACAATTATGTAAGAAATAATAGTGATTTAAATTCCAAGTAAGGAGTATTTGATAAATATAGAACTCCTTTGTTAGGTACTGATACTATTGAAAATTGACAGTTAAAAGTATCAGACTTATTGTCCTATAAGACTTAACTGGTCGATCTCATAGATTACTCTCCGTATGTAGTATCGTCTATTTAGTTTGTGCTCAACTTGATGTCTTCAATTCATGTCAAATAGTGAAATATAGCCTCATATAAATTGCAAGTGTACCAAATTGTGTAGTTCGAGATACATAAATAAAGTTTGCAGACGGCTTGACTGGGAAAATTAAGTTACTTAATATGATATTGATGTTTTTTTAAATATAAATGTATTTGATAGATAAGTATTAAGGTACATCATGAACAAGGCTGGAGCGCCTAAGAACGTGATCGCCGACTTGTCCCAATTTTGCAAGAGTACCTTCACCCTCAGTTTTGCGGTCGAAGTAGTTGGTATTGAAGTATGGCATGATTGTAATGAAGGTTGGCTGGATTTAGGGCCCTGTTTACAAGGGTTGAAGATCCAGTATAATTTATATCCTGGTTGTAGTTACGACTTAGATGTACTGATTTGGCCGCATGCTGCTAAGGTTCGTATACTTTGTGTATTTACACGAGCTTATTCCTACTTACTTCTTATAGATTGATATTTTTTGTTCGCTACTTCGTTCGTTTTACATGAAATATATTGATTATTGATTGTTGATTGATCGTTATTGGATCTATGCTTATATTGCGACACGTGTTTCGCGTCTGAATGAAGCATCATCCATCATCAGGCCATTAGGTATTAGAGCTCGCATAAACTTGGAAACCTAGTGTTAATTGCTAAGCATCGTAGTCTGGTCATCCAACAGTCAAAATTAGGCTTGTACCGGAATTAAACAAGATAATATAAATCTATTAAGTAACACTTTCATTGTGCTATGTTTCTAGTGATTGACTTTAATATCTGCCTATTGGTAACTTAGTCCACAGTAATTGAATAACATTTCTATGAAACCAATGCCATAGAAAATCCTGCGTAGGTAGACTTATTGCAAAGAAAAGATTACCGATATCCGTCAAGTTTTGGTGAAGATATTGCGTAACATATACACAAAATCCTCACGGCAGTTAGTTGGACACAATCCTAGTCAATATAAGTAATCGTTACAAAAATACAAAAGCCACTTCCCGTGATTGGATATTTGTTCTGTTAGATCTAGTCAATTAGAACGTAGATTCCTTTAGGATAAAATACAAACTATGAGTGATATAGTAAAAATAGAAATAGTAGTATAACAATATAAAGTACTTTTAATTCAATACAACACTAACGTCTAAAATAAACTAAGCGTAAAGTTTATATGGCAACATGTATACATGCTTATTTACATAGGTATAGGTAGGTACTGATGAAAATATGACCATTAAACATTTTTTTAGTAATGTAACTTTAACCATAAATATGTTTATTCTATATTTAGACTTATTTTTAGTACGCTAGATAGTACACTTTACTAATGCGTACTGTTTGTTACCCTAATGCCAATATTTTTTTTCGAACTATTCTAATGCTGTTTGCCACAGACCTTTAGAGCTTCATCGAATGATAGGGAGCAAGAGCAGATGGTACTTCAACGGACTTATGGAGAGCTCTCCTACCTGACGGTCATTAAGTATAGAATAAAGAATATGTCAAACCTTAATGTATATAGTACTAGCTGTACTCGCGATTTCACCCGCATGAAATTTATAGCCTACATGTTATTCTAATTTATAACCTATATTATTGTGTAAAGTTTCATCAAAATCCGTTCAGTACCTAAGTAGTTTTTGCATGAAAGAGGAGCAAACATCCTTCCATACACACAAACTTTCGCGTTTATAATATTAGTAAGATTTGTCTTATTTTTATTTATATTTTTTTATGTATTAATAGCGACCTACCTCTGCTTCACTGTAGGTACACCAGCTATAGTGCATTTGATAAAGGTCGTCTGACTTTTGATATTCTGACTTTATATATAATAATATTTGAAAGGATTGTGGCCTAACGTTTTACTACTCCGCCTGACATTCCAAGAAGGATGTGTATTTTTTTGGTCAAATTCTTTTAAAAATACATATGTAATACATATGTATTTTGAAATTTATATTTCTGACAAACGTTCCGGTGTGCTAAAAATCCGACAATTTATTGTATTTGTATTTGCTTAAACTATTTATAAATTATTTAATATTAGATTTGGTGCGGGTTACAATATGGTTGGGTTCGGACTTGGCAGTTCCTGCAACGTCGATGGATAGCATTCTCAATACGCCACGCATTTCCTGTGAGGGTCCTAGATCTGCAGGCGCATACCGCTATGGTTACGCTAGTCCCAGGCACTGGTGCTTTTGGAGCGAAGTAAGAATTTATTAAATACATTGTGATCACATTATTTTGTATATTATGGACTTATAGCTGTCATTATTTTGTACATTATGTTTTAAATGGTATTGTAAAAATCAATTACAATGTCCTTATAATAATTCTGTCAACATTCATCACCCTTGAGTGCACCCTTTCTAATAAGCCATGTAGCATACTATAAAATAAACATACTAATATAGTACAATTATTACATCTCTATATTCACTATCTACTATCACTATATATCTACATACTACAGGAAATAAGTACAAAGTACAAAGCGACACCTCATCACATTATATATAACGCTGCAGTAGTCAGTGACAACAAACTCGTTCATATTTTATTACTTAGCACTATTACAACAACCATGATATATACCTACCTGCTTAAATTTGTTATGGTCGAAGTAGGTAGATACAATGTCTACAGCACAGTCCATTATAAATTTGTAGCGCAAAGAACGACAAGAACTCAGAAGTATACCTTCCCCCTTTGAAATTTGGGGAACTTAGATATTTTGCCGCTGTCATGGAGGCCGAAGAAAGTTTGTCAAAGTTTGCACAAGATTTAATTTGGGAGGCTGTAGAAAATTACATACCTGCATCTTATTTAGATGGTTTATTTGATAAACCATTCCCTGTGACAGGTATTTTGGCATAAATTTAATTGTTCTTTTATAACAAACGATAACTGAGTTTTTATGATTTATATGTATTATAATCTTCGAAACTTCAGGACCAGTCCTAAAAGTTCTGTCATGCAGGCCTATTTTTTCACACAGTGGAAACTAAGAGTAGTTGTGTATATATGTATAGTAAAATATAGTCAAGAGAATATCCCTGGTACCACGTACCAGGTACTTTTAGAGAATAAAGGATCAACGTGAGAACTGTAATTAGGCAAATAAATACCTACTTTTATATATCTCTATCATGTTTGGAATTATAATTTCTTATTCTGTCACCCACACCTCCGTATCCTCTTGATATATGTATGTATTGTCCTATTCTAGAAAAAAAATAGTTTTCCATATCTATATACTCACCCATTTTTAGAGGACACGAATCTTGTCGACATGAAAAAATTTGGATCATTTAACTAGAGATGATTAGCATCGTCAACAGCCTTAAAAATGAATGTCTGTTTATTAGCGAGGAATGACAGTATAGGATAACCATAGACAAAATAGTGAAATCTACAAATGTGCAACAAATTGACAAATTGTTACCTTATTACTCCAACAGTTTAATAGGTCTACGATATTGAAAATGACTCAATTGAATCTGTGTGTATGGTATTTTTCTTTGCTATTTTTTAAAAAATAAAATACCTAAAAGTATATGGCAGGAATTCCCACGTTTCTTTATACTAAAACATGTACTTCAGTTCGCTTCATGGAGCATGACTCAGTCGAGTATCCGTTAGGCGAGTTCTTTCAGGTACTCGATTCCAATCCAATTTCGGGCCATCTTAAGCACCTCTTCATGTACGAAGTATCGCTCCAAATCTGAAAACATTAATTCGATACCTATCCAATATCGTTTTGTAACAATGTTATGCGTCATATTACTTTTCTACACAGATAAAATAATACTACATACTGTTTTTAATGTTACCACATTTTCATGACTCTTTCATTCCTCATTTCATATTATATCATATATTCTATGGAAGTTTTTAAGAACACGTAGTCTCTGGTATACGTTGATTCGTTTGGATGATATCCCAAGTTAGATTTCAGATAAGCTCAACCTAAGTAACAAACTTTTCTAAATTGACTCAGATGTGGGTTATCCCTAGAGATATTAGCTACCTATTTAGTTTATTATAGGACAGCGTACCCTTATTTGAAAATCAGTCATTTTTATATAATTTGTTCATTTCGCATATTATTTATTACGACTAAGTTAGTTTATTTTTAGATGTCCGGCATAAGGATACAGTTATTTGCAATGTGCAAGAAATTATTCTTAGCAGAGGTTTACCAGAAGAAATCGAAGAGATACCAGAACCGGAAGATTCAAAGACAAGATATAGGCCCGATTCTAAAATAGTTAAAGAGAAAGAAAAGAAAAAAGTTAATGATGTTACGAAAATAAAATTTGAAATTAAACTGCCAGGTGACAACATCCTAGCAGGTAAAATATTTTATTTTCATCTATTGTGTTTTATTATTCTTTTCGAAATAAATTAGAGCATTCAGTATAAGATCAAAGTGAAACGTTCATATGTTTATTTATTAATCAATAGCATACCGAGCTAAATAATTGTATCCTTGCATGACTTACTAATAAGCAGTCCACTTGATATAATTGGATATACACTCGAAAAATCAATATTTCAAGAAGTCGAATGAATTTAACAACGTAATTCATATAACTTGAGTGATATATAAGTTTAAAGTTAAAAGATATTTTAAGAAATCTATTTAAAGAATAATATTTTTATTCATTATTTCGTTGACTTAATTGTATCTAAATCAATCAAATAATTAAATTTAATTTGATACTATGAATGTCATCTAACCATAACAATTATTGGCATAACAACATGAATAGCAACATCGATCTGATTTTTATTTTAATGAAATCAAATACAAAATTCGAGATATCGAATCAATACCCAAGTACTATTTTACAGGTACAGGCAGAATAACACCCTTTGAAATATGCGGTGACCGGCCACCGGAACTTGGAGAAATTATAACTTTAATTAGTAGCAATAATTTACCAGCTCAAGATGATTTACCTATACTATTTGTGAATATAGAAACATTATATGACATACCGTTTAATGATTTAAAAAAACTCAGGTTAATATATTTTAACTGTTAAAAAAAATACTTTTTTAGATAGTAATCTAAATTTATAGTAATATATCATTATTTCAGTCATTCTCTAATATTACAGTATTTAATAAATGTTTTACAGAAAAAATGTTTGATAAGCTTGATTATGACCCTTTATAACATTAATTTGCAAACTAAAGATTTTGATGAACTCTTTTTAAAAAATAAATTTAATAAGAATAAAGTTCCTGGAATTTACCCATATTTACCTCTTTGTTCTTCTTATCACTTGTACATATAATTACACTATATTGACTTTGCTGTAACATATTGAATTATGCCCTTGGTATAATAAATTAGAATACCTACTATTATTTCGTCAATTTCCGTTGCTATTAATATTGCAGGGATTAATAGATTCATGAGAGAGGAAATTTATGAAATCCACCAATTCTTTTCCAAGTAAACTCACATCAGGTTTTTCAGATTTTAGCCGTTTCAGGAACAATATACTATAGTTTTATTATAGCCAGCCATATATCATATTATGGACTTATAGCCAGCCATATTTTCCCAATGTATAGGTAATATCAAAAAATTAAGATATCGGCTTTTATGAAAAAAATCGTTTCTGTTTAGAAAGCAATTATGCCATTTTGTGACAATAATTTAGGACTTATTTTGAATTCAATTTATTTTGAAAATCTAAAACGGTTATTATTTCTATTATTGATTAAGATTAATTTATTTAAAATTTGACTAGTATTTACAAGAAGTACTTCTGGTAAGAATAATCTAAGCATTTAGAATGTAAAAAATATAGATATGTTATTACCTATATTTTAGAATAACGCAACTCTACACAAGATGGAAAATTGCAAGCTGGAAACAGGATTCAAAGGTGAATATGATAAAATCTAAGAGTGAAATAAAATTTCAAGACCATCATGTATTACCTTTGGAGAACGCAATGGCGGCACAAGTCACAGCGACATTTTTAGATAATCCGTTTGAAATTCAAGTATGTATTGTATTTTATAATATCTACAATATAGTTTTACGAATATATAACATTAAAGATTATAACTTGTGTCATTTTGATCTTAAAAGTAAGATTATTATGCATTATGTAGTTTAGGGATTGTGATTATTTAAACAAATTTATTTTAAAATATATCTCATTAAATAAATACAATGTATTTAATATTAGTATTAATGAACGAAATGTTAATCTTTCTTTTATATCGTTGATCGATATAGGCGATAGAGCGTATACGAAAAAAATATATATGTAGATGCCTAAATAAGAAATCTTTAGGTTCTAGTTTATTATAAGTATTTTTCTATATATACCTTTCAGTTACGTGGAATACGGGAAATAAGTGCATCTAACAGCAACCCAATGTTTTTTGGTTATTTAAAAGGCGACCATAATTTTGGCCTTACCTCACCACCGAAATTACCTAACGAAGATACCGATATACTTATAGCAGTTACCAAAATTGATGGACGAAAGTTAGCAACAGGAACTAATGAATTTATAAGTGGAGAGTATCCTTTGTATCCACCTTCTGCGTCAACTGCGAACTTAGGACGCGAGGAGCTTTGTACAAATGATATTAATGCTATCGGAGTAGCCATAAAGCCTGACTTCATCGTCCCATCGTACTTAGTTTTGCAAGCACAAATGACATTAGGGGTATCATTGGGATTAGTTGGATGTCGACCTAAAGGCCTAGCCTTGAGTTTCTCACGGTTATTTGCGCTTATTGATGACACAGAAAGTGTTATGGTAATGCTACGAGAAATATCCAAAATGAATGACGAGCTTATAGCATCTAGTAAGAGAGACATTGTACTGACTGGGTTTGCACTTGATGTCGGTGATCAAGTAATATTTTACCTAGAAGGTCCCACGGATGGAGCTCTATTAAAAATATGGGAAATGACACAAGATTTTTATCCGACTGTGAAACCAGTATTTTCTAGCTCAGCTAAATATTCGACCCGAATTTATCCAGGTATAATTCTATGTTTCTGAATATCCTTATATTATATATAAGAGTATCTAAGAGCAACTATCAGCAAAATATTACTGACAATCATATTTCTAGATGTCGTTATTTTTAGATTGCGTTCTGGAAATCATAAAAAACGTTTCAAGTTTAATAAGTGGTTATTACTATTTATTTTAAAGAGCAAATGATATAATATTCTTAATTAATTAATAATCCAAAATTGTTATAGAATTTCTTTCTGCAACTAAGCCATTCAGTATTCTGAAGATGTACGTACCGTTGGCAATTCTTTTGGCTTGCCCGCCTATTTACGTCCGTCCAGCTCTTCCAATACCCACTAGATCTGTAAGACATTTAATAATTTACTATTATAACAAACAATATAACTAATAGAATTTGCTGAATACAAATTATTAAATTTTAATATTTCTTGTAAACTAGTGATATGATTTAAAAAGAATAAGCATTGAATTTCGGCCCAAATATATTGTTGGAATTCATCACAGAAATCGTTATTGCGAAATCTGAAAAGCATTGTTATCTACCTTGTCAGATAAAAAATAACTGGAGTCTGTTAAACAATTTTAGTAGTAATGAATCCTGAATACCTACTTACTGGTAGATTACGCAAGTGATAATGTAATATAAATGTTAGCATTAAGTACATTCTAAACTTTGAACTAGAATTTAATTTTATTCCTTTGGAGAATAATTTTCAAACATTCTACAGCATTATACTACAGGCAATAAGTTATAAACGATTTGGACTGAGTTTTGTTTCTAGATACTGTTAAGAGTTCGTTTGTGATACATGAAATATAGATAATATTTAAAAGATCTTTAAATGAAACAGATCATTAAATTATTGACTCAGAATACTTCGAATTTCAGATAGAATATGTACTGTATAATATAATGTCTAACAATTAACTTAAGAATGTTCCGAAACTTGCCTGTCTTGGAATGAGTTAGGTGAAACAAGAAATGCAAATAAGGGTATGACTCTAGACTACCGAACCTCTCTCTCTTTGTGTACTCCCTATAGGATTTAAATAATACAGTCTACTTCTTAAGTATTTATAACAATAATAATCAATTGCAGGCTGTATTGAAAATCGGCCGTATAATATCCGGCAAATTTCGACCAGTTCCGTGTCGCAGTGAGATGCCTTCTGCATCAGAACTGAACAGTTTCAGGTTGGAGCTATGTGTTGCACCTCGGCCTATACCACCTGTCACTCATGAGGACGCTGCTCGTGGATAGTTATAACTGATTACCAATATGAAATGTACAATATCTAGTAAGTCTAAATCTTAGAAGATTAATAAAACTATTATTGTTGTAATTAATTTGCTTTCTAATAAATGGTGTGTTAAAGAGACTTGAGTTATGTAATTCAATATTTTTATGTTGTACAATTTTCAGTTGCAAATGAATTCGTATGTAATTACAATAGCAAATAATCTGATAGTAAAGAGAAACGGTAACCGTCGCCCACATATATGAACCTCACTATGAGCATTTTGTTATTTTGTAAAACTCAGGATGCTTTTTACTTGTAATTTCTTGTATGTACATGAAATTACAAGTATTCATCATTATTCACCGTTCGATTATGAAAAATATTAAGTTAGTATTTATTTAATATAGAGGTATATATTTTGTTCCAGCATCTGACACTCCGGTACAACTGTCAGTACAACCAATACAGAAAATTAATTGGGATCATAATTAAAATGAGGAATTAATTTATCTTACCAGCGGTACTTCAATTATGATTAATTGTATTTGTATTCAATTTACGTAATATTAAAGTTATTTATTTTGGGACCATTGTTTAATTAAGCATACAAATAATATGCTATGTCAATTATAATCTCTGTCAGAAAGAAATAATTTTTCTGCATAAGATCATTAACTTTTAAGTTACCTGAAACCTACGAGAATGAACCACATATGATAGCAAATAGTTATCATGTACCCCTAAGCGAATGGTAATCCTTTGCCCTCTATTTTGATATTAATTGCTGATGGAGCATTAATAATATATTTCGAGGAATCGAACCCGCGACCATTGGAAGTAAGTCGCTGTCTTAAACAGCTAGCCCACCGAGACTGTCATCATACCAATATTAAAATTTGTTATTTCTGATATTTTTTTACTCCAATTTCTTCTAATATCTCTCCACTAATATCACTCCATATTTTTTCTAACATCTGGTACATTGATTTCACATATATGTATGTATTTTGACTTTATTCAACACAAAAACAACAAACAAGTTTCGTGCTCGTTCTTGGTATTCTGAAATTGCTTTCCTAATCAGTTGTGTATTAAAAAAGTGCGGCTACTGAAAAGTAATTACATTTGGCTTTACTTGAATTAAGTAATTCTATTCTATTAAATTTTAATATAAATCTAGTTACGTTTTATATGAAGTTTGTAGAGATATCATCTATGATATGATTACAGAGTGACGCATGAGTGTTAATTATAAAGTTATTTAGTTGTTTATTGCTTAATCACGCTACGTTAACTTATCAGAATTTAATTATTTGTATAATAGGTATACAATTTCTCTTCAAGCAGGGAGGGCTACAAGTTAAAGGTAATACAATATTCATTCTGTATAATATCGTGTATAAAATATAAAATTTTACTGACTTCCAATTTGAAACTCAAACAGGTACTGCAAGTAATGTGAACTCGTTTCCAGCATTATTTATAACAAACGGTTAGCAAGTTAATAAAGCAGCTATGTACTAAGTACGTACACACAATGAAATTATTTCCCGAGGCTGTTATAAAGTGTACAGTGCATTGTTATTTCATTATCGTAAAGCACTCAAAATTAAATTTTATTTTTATACTAGACATTTTCGCGACTTCGTCTGCTATCTTGTTCTTTATCAGCTTTTTTTTGGTTTGGGTTACTTTCTGCTTCGATTTTACTATAGTACATTTATTTATTCTTTTGCACATAAAAATGTGTATATATGGCGGACTTAATGCCTGACGACATTCTCTAACATGAATCATTTTACTAACATGAATGTTACAAATAATCATGCACACTTAATTAACATAAGTAGTTAGATATATGTATATATATTATAGACTAATATTATTAAGTTTGTGTGTATGGATGTTTAGAGTAATCTCCAGTACTATTGATTCGATTTTGATCATTATTTCAGTGTTGTATAGCCCATTTAACGAATAAGGCTATATACTAATTAACATAACACTACGTTTAGTTAGAGTAGAGAAAATAAGATGCAGACGAAGTTGCTGGGATCAGCTAATTTTTTTTTACAAATACATTTACAATTTAAATTCTATAATAGAATTTCCATTAATAAATTTTTATACAGTACTGGCTGGCCCACACAACTTCGTCTGCGTCAGACTTACATGACATATATTATTTATATTTAGCCCAATTTATATAATGTCTTATTTAAATTATAGCCTATGTGTTGTTCTGATGTGTATATTATTAGTATAGATTATTAAGTGTAGTTGACAAATAATATTTTCGTTAGTATATCTCTATGATTATCTATGGGTAATATCTAGAGATATTGTAGATTATGTACATCAGAACAATATATAGGATATAATTTAAAAAACACATTACGTAGATCGTTTGTGATATCAGAGATTGTAAATAAATATTTTGATTCTCATATAAGGATATAAAAATTTTGCATCTTGATGTTTGTCTGGATACCATTCGCTTACTACTAAATTATACTTAGGTTTATTTAATTGGTCTAACATAAAAATAGGCAACTACTACCTACCTACGTCATAACAACGCTTGATCGCATCAGCTAGTAAAATATATATTTTATATAGTTGTCCTAAGAGGAAGGAGGAATTTCTAAACATTGAGAACAGATGACCCCTGAGACCTCCAGATGTCATTCTGCGTCTCTATCACTTCGCGTGACTGTTGACAGCGATTCTTTTCCTAATCCCCCAGTTCCAAATGTATAGAAAATACTTAAGTTTAGTATTGATGATGAAGTCCCTTCTATAATCATGCATAAAAAAATACAAATTGTTGTATAACAATTATGACTATCAAAATCGCAACACAAGAATACTTTTATTCCAAATAATGCAAATGTCGTACGCGAGGTCAATGAATAATTCTATTATATATACTTAGAATACAACGCTCCAATAATCCGGTATCTGGCTGGCACATAATTTCTTTACGACCGAAAGGACATAAAACCTAAACTCGAAGCCATAAGTTTATAACATAATTCCACCCAGTATTCACTACTCTTTCTTACTCGTGTATTCGCGGTATTAATGAAAAGAGAAAGAAAATTTGGATATTAAGTCATTTTCGTCAAGGCAAAGATATTGAACTTATATATTATTCCCAGAGCCAAGGTCAAAATGAAATAGGGAGAGAAAGTAGCCTTTAAGTATTCTTAGCCAGAATATAATATATGTATATGGTAAGTAGATTCTATACAGTTATACCAGTGTATATGTACGTTTAATAATATTTTTTGTTAGCGAAATTTAAAATGACCTAATGGTAAGTGACAACACACCACAAACTTTACGTCATCATGTGAGTTTCGTAGGACTTCTATATCTCTAACGCGCTTCATGCAAAGGGAATGAGGTGTTATACCTCCGTAACCTATAATTTCACTACCATATCTAACCTTTCAATCATAATTCAGCTTACAATGTACGCCACTTGGCTGCGGAAATGGGTAAGACGTGGGTGACCACGCAGATGACTTTGTAGGCAGTCTAACTCAGTAAATTGAAAGTAATAATTAAATTATTTTATATATAATAATACTATTATTATTACAGTAATAAATCCATTATCACATATCCGGCAACTGTGTATTATCCATTATAAATGCAAACCTTTTGTATTAGAGTCGGAGATCAAATTACGTTATATGTCAAATTACATTCCTTGTTATTATAGGATGGCGTAATTTCCTAATTAGTTTTGCCGCAATCCGCAATATCTTGTGGATTTCTGGCTTTAGTCACTTTATTTAGGACTTAGCGTACACTCTAGTAAGTTAATTAATTATTATGAAGTAATGACGACATCGAGCGCAGTAATTATAATCTATCGTCTTTCGTCATACTACAGATATTTGTGATAAAAATGTTTAGTTCGGATGCAAAATAGGCAATTAATTTTTACATAAATGTTTATAAGAGATATTTCTAATTCTTTTCGAACCATTCTTCGAATTGTTATTTGGATTAATGTTATCTACTTACTTACGTTAGCTATGTCACGTTGTATTGATTTAACTAGAATAGATTTATTTTTGTTTGCCACAATATCTCTAATTAGTAAAAAAATATGTATAGGTTATTGTATTGTTATTCCTCTCGTCCTGGCACGGCAGCAACACAGGCGGCAATTTTAAAAAGACGAAAATTATCGAATCTGGAGTGTTCGTATTGGTTTTTACCATTTGCCGTGGAGACTTTGGGCCCATGGAGCCCGGAAGCCAAATTGTTTTTGACATATATTTCAGCGCGGCTCATTGAGGTTACTTGTGACCCGAGAGCTGGTAGCTATTTTGCCCAAAGGCTAAGCATGGCCATTCAAAGAGGCAACGCTGCCAGTATCTTGGGTACGCTGCCTCGATGTGCTGCGTTGGATTACAATGATTGTTTTTTGTAATTGTTTATATAGAAAATTGATATTGAGGAATTGTTATTTAAATATACATATATATGTATATGTCAGAAAGCGGTAGTAATGGGGACCATTGCCCACATTGCTATTGAGTCCAATGTGATTATTCCGTAAGTAGTTTTGTCACCACCATTAATATTCTCTGGTATCTATTAGCGTAAACTATTACCGTAAACGGAGTTATTATTCCATGATCTTCCACAAAGAATATAGGTATCATAGGTTACAAATTCGATGTAGTAAAGATACATTTACTTTACATCTTCACTATTTTAAACAATACAAATCTTTTTGGATATTCATATCCTTTTGTATTACACAAGCGAATTATTTTCTGATGGTCTCTATAATACTCCCGAATACAAATATATAATTATACATATTTGTTTTCAATGTCAATAAAAATAAAATCTGACACATTTGCACCAAAAGCTGGGTGACAAAGTAAAAACTGTCTCGATTTACGATGCCAACGTTTTGCTTTTATTGATGCACCATAACGGTGACATTTGAGAAGCCATTTGCCGCGATAGATGTATTTTGTTGCTCCTACAATCACACCGTCAGGTCTCAAGAAAGTACGGTTCAAATTAAGAGTTTGCGGTCATAAAAAAGGAATAACTGCGTATTTGTCCAGGCAATAAATTGTGGTGTCATAAAAACGAAAACGGGAAAGCAATAAAATCTGTCATCTTAAGTAATGCCATCGTGTTTTAGGCTTATCTGCTAACGACGACAGAAATCTTCGCGTCGCTGAAATTGGTAAGATGCGCCTAAGTAAAATTTGTTACGGGTGTTTTTCTATAGCGCTTGTTTGGGCCGTATTATGCTTTGTAAAGGCTCAGACAGATTTAACTTGAGTGATCTACTTAATACTGCCTGAATAGCATGTTGACTTTTGAGCGGTTGGATTATAACTGTCTGTAGAACATGATATACTTATATTTTTCATAGTGGGTTAGACAACTTTGTCATATATTATATGTTAATTTTTGTATTAATTTAACATAAAAAAATCCTACATACCAAGGACAAAGTTGCCTTATAAAATTA